CAAAAATACTGAGAGAAGAATGGGGGAAAAGGGGTTGCAATGTGACCATCCCCCATGCAGGAGGTGATTGTTTTTTATTTTCCGTCTCTCTGTCTCTTTCTGTTTTTCTGTGTCCTGGGTGAGCATACTCAAACTATAGCAAAATTCTCTCTCTAAAAACAAACAAATAAAAATTTATCTATGGCTTCATCCAATTGGGCTAGTTAGTGCTTTTCTTAGAGAATGATTTGTGCTATATCATGTGTGTGCTCACTGGAGATACAGAGACTCACAGCAAGAAATCACCTCCCAAAGAGAATGATCATCCCACAATCCCTTCTTAATTTTTCTGGGGTTTTGGGCCCCCATGCACACTCATGAGGAAGGAATTTCAAGCGACATGGTCAGAGATTTGAACTGTGGTTAGCAATGTGTGAGTCTAGCAACTTAATCACAATGGCACTCATTGATCAAAGTTTCATGGGTATTAACAACATTAAAAAATACAAATATTAATAGTAGTTTTCTGATACAAAAAGTTTGGACCTCTCTTGGTTATAAAATTACAAAACTTGTTGTCACAGGATGGGATGATCCCAAAAGCTTTATTTGGCTATTATAAAGTCATAAAGGCTGGGGGGAGAAAAAGAGGCAAAATATGTTTTTCCCAAATTGTTTTTTACCAAAATGAAGGGTGACAGGTGCAGAGCCCCAGGGCAAAGAGATCCCCAGAGCTCCTGGATGGGACTTAAGTGAAACAGTAAAAAGCCAGGAAAGTCAGAACTGCTCTGATTAGGCATGAATCTCAGCACCATGGTTCCAGTAGAAATGTGTTTTTTTAATGCTTCTAAATATGGTTTTGTCTGTCATGCCTGTCTGGCACAAGTTTGGACAGGTTGAAGGCAGATGGTGGAAGTGAGAATCCCCTGTGCACTCCACAGAGTTGCCTCTCCCAACAGAGAGCTGAGCCTGCAGACACAATCCAGTTACATCTCCTTCTCAGCTCCCACACATAGGGCTTTTTACCTGTGTTGGGACAGCTCAGACATGTCATTGCCTTTGATTAGTGTCTTGCTACTTCTGCAGCCTT